CATATTTGACTCGTGCATTGTGTTAATCCTTAAAACAGCTTAAAAGTTTTATCCCATTCTTGCTTTTGAATTCTAGGCTTGCAAAACAAATAGCTTGTGTATTTTTATATTCTTCTGACTAGAGCTCAGGAAAGACATCTGAGCCCTCTCTTCCCATAGAAGATTCCCAGGACCTGTATAATGCCTCTCCTGAGCCCAAGAGTTTATTTCCAGGGGCTGGGGAGTCACAGTTTCAATTTTCTCTGGAAGATGACACTCAGAGCCAACTGCTTGATGCTGATGGGTAAGTAATAGGGGTAAAGGATGGCATTTCATGTCATTTTTAACAGAAATAGGACAGACCAGCAAGATTTTTTCTAACTACAGACTTTCTTTCAGGTTCTTGAACGTTGGACAACATAGGAATAAATACCAGTCCTCAAAGCATCAGCTGACCCTGGCTAGTATGGATGAGAACGCGATGGACGCCAATATGGATGAACTGCTGGACCTGTGTTCTGGACAGTTTAGCAGTCAGGCTGAACACGTGCCAAGTACCAGCAGCAACAAAAAGCAGAACATGGAAGAATTGCTCAGTCTTTGTTCAGGAAAATTTGTGTCTCAGAGTATGTCCTGAATTCTGTTTTCAGCTTTGCTAATTAATTGATTTATAAGCTTTATGCTAAAGTACCTTTTAGTTCTGGGTACTGATGCAGAATGTGGAACTTCTGAGAGTTCTAACAATTTGTCGCCTTTGTGGTAGCTTGCTGTCGTTTCTAGGATGCTCTCTAACATTTTAAGAGTATAAATATATCTGTCTAATAAGTTGCCATCTTACTACTTTTTGTAGGAGATTCTCCAACATGGGCATCTTCAGTTTCTTCCAAGGCAGAAAAAGACAGTGACGTAGAAGATCCAATGGCAGAAGCTCTAGCACTTTGTTCAGGCTCCTTTCCCACAGACAGGTCAGCATTGTTCTTCCTAAAATTTACAAAAGTTTATAGCAGTAGTCATCTTGTTTCTCTCTTAATGTGTGTTCTTGTTTGACATGGATTCAAAATACTGTAAGCAAAAGTTCAGTCTGTTTTGGAGGTGGAGAGAGGAATGCAGAGAGGAATTGCTCAGCAACCACTCTCTAAATCAGCACCTTACACTGTTTCCCACAGCTGCTGTGAAGGGAAATTCTTTGTCTTTCACTGACAGTGAAAGAAGTGTTGAACTTCAAACTGGGCAAAGGTTGTTAGAATGTAGGACTTCATGGTTCTGTTCTGGGCTGTTGCCGAACTACAGGAACCAGAACCAAGTGTTAGTACTTGCATTTTCTCCACTGGTTAAACTGGAAAGGTATATGGCTACCTGATAAAAGGATAATGAAGCTTAACAAATGGGAATGCTAGAGGGATCCAAGAGGAATTTTAGAGGGAAACAAACTCAGCATTTAATATTGGCCCATGGTTTCTGCAACTGAAGACCTGATGTTTTAAAACAGAGAATTGGGGCATTTAAAACTAAATGCTGTTGAGAGACTGTAGCTCTTTGAACACTCACAGGAATTATCTGACACCAGCTATCGTGATGGTTGAAATCTTGCTGTGAATTATTGTGAAGCCATCATTGGAGGTGAAATAAAAACGTGCATTTCTTTGATTTACTGTCCTTTAGGGAAGAGGAAGGTGAGGAGGAGCAAGAAGAACTTGGTGACTTTCAGCTGTTAACAGACGACAATGCCTTTGATAGCGAAGAGGTACAAACTGATAGAGCAAAGCGACTGCTGCAGCATTCTGACTGAGAACACCAATTAGCTACTTACTTTTTTAATATAAACATCAATGCAAAGTGTTGTGACTTCCAGAACAAGCTACTGACACATTTTTAAGAGCAGTGTTTGCATCATTTAAAATGTCTCCTTAACATAATGTTATACTGGATAAAGCATCTTAGCATAGCAAATCCTCTGAAAAGTCTCTGGTGTTTTAGTCTGTGTTTGTTGATTGAAGAACAGGAGAAGCTGTCATTACAAAGCAATCCACTGTCAGAAATTCCTTAATTTCTGAAGACTTTCTCTTTGATAGGATGAGAAAAGTAGAGACAGTGATGCTGAAGAGGAAGAAATGAATGATGAAGAAATGAATGATGAAGAAATGAATGATGAAGACGAAGAACTGCTGAGACATAGACAGGGTTTGAAGAAAAAACTGTAAGTACATCTTTTTTGTATCTGAATTGCCAGAATAAAATATTAATAACATTAGAAGTTTAGTCTATAATTATTCCCTCCCCAGCATTAGTAGCTAATGTTTATATGGTGTTGGCTCTGGCTGGTGTTTTGCTTTGGTGCTGTCACATTGTATTAGTTTAACTATGTTGCTGGTGTGTTATAGAAGATTTCTGTTACAATTTTCGTTGTAGATGGAAATCAAAATGCCACAATGAAAGCAATGCAACATTTTTTTGACCAAAAAGTATGCAGGAGTATTGCTGTCATTCCTCATGTCTTAAGATCTTTATTTGTTCTAGTAAGTAAAACATCTAGTTGGCAGTTATCATTACCATCACATTTGGTAGGCAACTGGCAAAGTGGATGACAATAATTTGGGGTGTTGTATGTTGACAGACTGTGTATGGAAATGTGCAAGAGCTCAAGTCTTAGTCTTTTAAAAAATAAAGATGAATCATAATTTCTCATTTAGGATATGTGTTGATTTTATGTCAAAAGATAAATCTTGCTTTCAGAAGATTTGTGTGATGATTATTGGTCTACTGAACTGAACTCTTTCAATGTTGTTTTATAGAAAGCTGCAGGATTTCATGGAAGAGGAGGCAGAGCTGTCTGGGAGTGATGTGGGAAGTGAGGATGAATATGATGGTGAAGACTTGGATGAATACGAAGAAGAGATTATTGATGAGGAGCTCCCTAGTGAAGTGGAATTAGAAAGTCAAATACAGAAAGTACACATGTCAGTGCCAGTATTAGTATCTATTTGTGTGTGTGAAGTCATGGCTCTTGGATAGAACCTGGGCTCACCTCCTCCCCTTCTCCTGTGTTGATAGGAAGGCGATGCTTGATGATGACAAACGTCAGTTACGCTTGTACCAGGAGAGATACCTGATTGATGGTGACCTGCATAGCGATGGCCCTGGCAGGATGAGGAGATTCAGATGGAAAAATATAGGTGCCTTTCTGATCTATGGTTAATAGTGGGGGTGAAAGATTGGAAAGATTGTGTGTGTATGAAATACCACTCAGTAGTCCTGCAGGGTAAATAAAGTCTTTCACCAATAAACTGGGTTGGGGAGCGTGTCTGGTTTTAGTTGTTTTCATTTGAGGTTTTTTTACTAGTCTGTGTATTTTATACCTCTTTTAAAACTGATGGCTAATGTTTATTTTTCTTTGTCTAGATTATGATTCACAGATCGACTTGTTTCAGAGAGAGTCAGATAATGAGGATGAAAATGAAGAGTTTGAGACAGAAGTGAAATGGAGGAAAGAGCGATTTGAACGAGAACAGTGGCTCCGTGAGCAGGTATCAGTCTTTATACCCTTGTTAGATGTTAAACTGTTAGTTCCTCAAGTTAAACTCTGTAAAAAAAAATACTGTTCATAAGAGTATCTTTGTTTTTCATTCTGCTCTTTCTCTTGTACAAGTATTGTACAGAGAGAGAGAGAAGCTAATTCAGAAGGGACAGGCAAAACAACTATGTTTTGAAAAAAGTCAGCTTCAAAGCTGGAATAAGTCTTATTCTGGGAGTGTAATTTCAAGTTTTAGAGGTTTCAGTATTAGGTCAGCTTTGTCAGCTGGATGTGATACTACAAGTTTGCTGTTCATTAGCAGAAGGAGGATGATAAAGTATCTAAGAATTTCTAATAAACTTTTACAGTAGGAAGTAAAGTAAATAAAAAATAATAATTTACATAACGAAAGGACTTGGTCTACTTAAAATAATGAAATGTTCACTCTTAATATGAACTTTTTCAATTTTATAAAGTGTCTTCTCTCTGCTACAGAAGGAAAAAAATAAAGAGCAGGAGGAGGAGGAAGAAATCGGTGAAGACAGCCAATTCATGAAACTAGCAAAAAAAGTAACAGCTAAATCCCTACAGAAGAAAGGTAAGTTTACTTTTTATTGAAGTGACAGTCAAATAAGAGAAAGAAAGCTTAACTTCCAGTCAGCACTTGTGGTCTCCAGTGAAGCAGGCCATGGATCAGAAAACTCATGTCTAGTTTTCTTACACAAGTCAGAGCTCATGTCTTCCAGCACTTGAAAAACTAAAGGTATAAAAGCATTGGAAACATGCAACTGCAAGGTTCATTACAATTGTGTGTATTTATTTAATAGACTAGTATGTTACTTCTTGGGGAAAAAAAAGTGGTAGAGTGAAAATACTTCCTTCTACATCTTTGTTCAGTCTTTTATTCTGCCTTTGCTTGCCTTTAAGTTACAGAGAAGGGGACTGTAAGTGACATTCAGCCTAGCAGTTTCTCCAGATACCTGTGACTTAAGGAAAAACTATGTAATGTAGTGAAAATAAATTAAAGTTTGCCTTGGTTGTGGCAAAAACGTGACTCCAAGTGTACAAAGCTGTTTCAAAACCACATTTTCCCTTCTGGCTGATAAGACTAATTGCTGGAGTCATCTATCAGTTGTATAGCTCATGGTATAAGTTGATGCAGATTTTTTTTTCCACCCCCACAGTATTTACTGTCTGTTGTCCTTTCTAAGTTCCTCAGTTTGATATAAAATTATATTCTCTCAAAGGAAGTTCAGAAACTGACATTTTCCTTTGTCTCTGCTAGTGAGCCCAGCAGCAGTGGTACAAGACACAACGCTACTGCCCAGGAACCCCTTTGAAACATTCAGCCCTGCCAGTGACATCCAGGTTGGTAATGGTTCTAAAAACTGGTATTTCCAAATGGCACCTGTAGGACACAGCAAAGTCAGCTGACCCCAGACTGGCCATTCCTGGTTTGTATGGTAGAGTAACATTTTAGTAGGGAGTAGTCTTTTCTATTGAGTAACCTACTAAAAGAGCTGTCTCGTTCGTGTGAGTGGTTTAATGCAGCATTTCTTTGATCTCCAGATAAAAAATGGATCTCTCTTGAACAGACCTAAAGCTGTCCTTCAGAAACTAGCAGCAATGTCAGATCTTAATCCAAACGCACCTCGAAATTCAAGGAATTTTGTCTTTCATACACTTTCCCCTGAGAAAAGTGAAGAGGCAAAGAAGAAATCAAAACTTGAGGTAAAGAATTGTGTGGAATGTGCTGCCAGTTGTGTAGATTATTTAAATGTACAGCCACTAAGCATTGCCAAGTCGTTAAGAGCTTTGCTGTTTTAAATATTCTTTATCATTTCCTAGCATGTGCTCTCGTACCAAATGATTATCTCATAACATAGGATTTAAACTTTTTGGAGATACTGAATATTCTCATGTATCCTACTCTCCTGTAGGTGAAGAAGAGAGGTCCTACTGCAGTAGTAACATCTCTGGCCAAACGGCCCAGGGTAGAGAGCACAGAGGAAACAAGTCAAAGCCGAAGCATATTCCAGTACTTGGAGAGCTGAATGTTTCTGTTCAGGGCCAGAGGTTGTATCTCACTCTTTGGGGTTTGTTTTGCAAAGCTGCCAGCAATCATCAGGAAGGTGAACAAATTGCTGTATGTTCTCCTGCTGCCACTTAATTCACAAGTTCCAGCAATTGCCAGGCAATGGTCTTGTTTATTCCCCTTTGTTTTTTCTCAGTGCTCCGTGGCAAATGAGAGCACAAAATCCACTGTTGGAATGAAATGCTCACTTGGTCTTTCCCAAGCATTAAGGAAACTTACACTACTCTGTACTGTCCTCACAGAACCTCACCTGTTTCTGTGGTGTCAGTTCCATCTGCAAATACTGTTTGTGTGCCAGGTGTGATGCAGAAATGCTGCAGTTAGCTTAAAGCACAGATGAAGGACTTATTTCTGCAGTTTTGGGTAAGAAGAAAGCAGTGTTAACGGTGGCAGGACCTATGTTGTTTACACTTGTGGTATGAAGGCAGCTGTGCCTTCCTCCAATCTCTTCTCTGATGTTAAGCATTTATTAACTTGACATTTAAGAAGCTCTAATTTATATTTGAAATGTATGATTTTAAAAAAGTTCTTGGGTCTTTTATGAGGCAGTTGGATAAGGATTTCTTTCCAGGTTTTTATTCCTGTTTATATTCTTACACATGCATATGAATGTGTGTGTGGAGAGGGAAGAATGTGAATAACAGATGTGGGAGAGGAAAAGGAAGTGTGTCAGGGTTTTGTATTTGCTTTTGGGGGGAGAGTTTGGTTTGTTTTGCCCAACTGAAGGCTCTCTTAAATCACCTATTCTGTTGTTTTCATGCAAGCTGTTCCTCACCCAAGAGAAATCAACCATTTCTGAACCACTAGTAATGAAAGGTCTCTCTAGAATGAGGAAATGAGATAATAAGGAACCATCATTCACAACTATTGTAAATAGTGTGAAGAAATTTGAGTTAGAACATCCAGCATTCCTGACATTTCCAATGATGTGTTGGATGTGTTAAAGCAGAGACCAGATAATGGTAAGACAGTGGCCTGCTCTGTGAGACCAAACATCTTTGTAGGACTTCACATCACATTCCCAGACTGCTGACTGCTGGAGAAGTATCCTGAACTGTAAATTTTGTAACATCACAAGCACACGCCTGGTGTGCTACATGTAAATATTTTACTGTATATTATGTTTATAAAGAGTTATGGTACTAATTGGGGTGCAATTTTACAATAAAACATGGTTTTAATTTTGGAGGCAGTTGGAATTAATTTACAAGCTTTCCCTCAGTTGTGTGTATGTGGGGATTTGTTTTCCAAAACGTTTGTCTATCTTGGTCTCTTTTTCATTGCTGCTTTTCTTTCATAGCCACAACTAAGCCCTTCAGTAGGAACAGCTGCAATAATCTTGCAATACAACAAAAACAACCCCCTCTGTGTTTATTGGAGTGTAAATTCTCAAGTCCTTAAGTCTCCCACTTAAGATTGCATACAATGCTTGGCCCTAAGAATGTTTCTTTTCACTTCCATAGTTTTGGTTTTGTTAGTTTCTAGACAAAACTTCATCTGTCATTGGCTTGAGGCTGCTTATTTCAGTGCATTCTGGCAACTCTCAGTATACCTGGATTGGGGATGGGAGCTTGAGGGAAGAGAATGAAGGAGGAAAGGTCATTTATTAGATGTTTGTTGAAGATCAGCACAACTAAAAGCAAGTAAATATCCAGTTAATTCTTTACCACAGTGTTTGCACTGATTTGTAAGTTGTACTTACACAGATTTACTGGGCAAAAACATTTTGAAGCTGCAGAATTCAGCATCTTTCCCTAATTTTGCTGATAATAGCTGCCACTAGAGAGCAGCACGAGAATGCTCGTCCTCTAGCAAAGGGGGAGGCAGAATGATTAAAGCTTAAACTGTACTCTTGACTTAAGGGGAAATTATAGTTTTCTGTGCTCTATGGTATTGCAAAGGATTATATTTATAGTGACTGAACTGCTGCATTTTTGCATTAGAAGGTGGTGGCTTGAAGGGCACCTTTAGAGGGTTGGCTTTTTCCTCGTGGGCTCACTGGCCTCTCCTCAGCGTGTCCTGGCCACAACAATGGCACTTGTTTCGCTTTCCCTTTAGAATTTTCCTTTCAAAATCTGTTTTGCTTGTTCCAGAGCCAAGAGTAAAAAAATATCATTGGATCTCAAGAGCTTTTAAATTGAAATAGATGGAATGGGAAGATTTCTTACCTCTCTTGTTCAGAGTAAATGTTTCCCCCACAACAACCTTTCAGGAGTTGAGGGTTTGCTAAATGCTGTGGGGAAGCATGACATCCCAGCCCAGAAATTCACTGCAGGGGAGCATGTTCTGAGCTGTGTTGTGAGGAGGCAGGAGTGGGAGACCAGGGTGAGTCCTGTCAGAGCTGGAATCGCAATAGCAGGAGGGGTTGGGCACCTGCTGAAATGCTGCTGCCGCTGCTTATTGTGCCAGACTCCATCTTCCCA